CGTAGGTACTTGATCACGTGGAATGAACATATCAGAATGCGGGCCTTGGGAAAGTAGGTGCGCAGCACACGGATTTCATTCACTCGACCATAAGAACCTGCACTTTCTCTCCAATATCAGGATCCATCCGGAACAAGTGATCCAAAGCACGCGACATACGCCAGTCGGCATTTCGTTCGAGTAACGAATGCTGGACAGGCTGGCCCCGACCCTTGTCATCGATCGCCATTAGGGTGGACAATTGGTAGTTGTACCTAGCAACACAGATACCAAAACCAAGTCAGTATCGGACTAGACCTGGATAACAATGGATAATACTTGGACAAGTATTAGGTAATGCATGCAAGAATCATGGACAATACACGGATGAACGTACCGATTGGTCTTGTGCGTGCAATCCACCGACAAAAGCTCCGGAAAACGTGTGATCATCTCCCGCTGATGCCGGGACGACATGCTCATAACGCCTGAGTGGCCCGCAACGGTCTCGTCGACTGTAACTACATTGTTGTCAGCAGCCGCGAATTCGGCGAGAGCCTGGGCGACAGCTTCGCCATGTCCGTGGAAACCTCCGAGTCCGTACCAGACGCCACGTGGCGGCGATCCGTTGAGGGCACGTCTGACGACTCACCAGAAGAATCAGGCTACCAGTATCGCAAGCATCAACCACAGTCAGTCACATCAAATAACACATATAAAGCATCTCGTAGTCAGAAGAAGCGGGTGGCGCGGGCTGCGTGGGCAGTGCTGGCGATGAGGGGCAAGGAGTGGGCCCGGCAGGGAGTGCTGGCGACTCCAGCAAAAGAAATGGGGAGGTTGGGGAGAAGTGGTAAAATACCGGTACGTTATAACTTCTCTGGGGACGGGAATTATATTTTACCCGATTGTTATTTTACGACATGGACAATACCTGGATCGATACCTCGATTATTTCTATACCTGATACATGGACTGTAGCATTTTCGATTATTTTACCGTAACAACACGGAGCCTGATCGCCAAGTAAATTAACTTTAAGGACCAGGACAACCTAAGCAAGGCCCTCTTCATAAATACATGCAATAGTATTAGCCGCAAGACCAGATTCGACCGCAAGCGATAGGTAACTACATCAAGTCGCGTATTGTATGTTTGTTTGTAGTACAGGCTACGCATGCATGTACTTAGCCAGCCACCTACATGTTGTTGTTGGGGAATCAAATCCAGAACAGTATCCAGAGTATCGACAATACTGTATACGGCATACCGACACTCAAGATGACAAGATACACCGTTACGCGTCCTGTGTTGACATGGCTCGCATCCAACCATTTGGGGCCAAGGCAACTAGGACCATGTAGACTACAATAGTTATTCACTTTGCTATTTACCTGCAAATACACTAGGCCAAGGAGCTCCGCCGGCTCCCCCAACCGTATCTTACTTTCGCTGGACACTACAATGTTACAAGGCTTCTATAGGGAAAAAAAACACATAACAATCTTCTATAGGGAAAAAAACACATAAAAATCAAATTGAAGGCCAAATTATCATCATCAGATCAACTTTGAGGGAAAGCCTCGAGGCGGTTCTTCCCTTACGTGTCGCCGCGTTGGGGGGGGGGCAATCGGAAATGCGCGATGACACCAAAAGACATGACAATTAAAGCAGCGCGTGAGGGTAATGCCACTCTAGTGAGGAGCTTTCACAAGCCCGAACAGTTTGACATGGTAATGGATATGGTTTGTTCAGCCCGCTGTGTCGATGACGCTGCTCGTTTCGTGTTTATACGAACCGTTGGTTCGTAGAAGGACATACCTACCTACGAAAGAACCGGCTGAACACCACCGTCGACGTAACAGGCAAATCTAAAGCATGCCGAAGAGGAAACGTGACCGTGACACCTGTTCTTGGGCTAACCAATGTCATGACGGTGTAAGAAAAAGATATAATACAGGGGCTCCCCCAAAGCAGATAGTATGCAAGGCTGTTGTGTAAAAGGTGTAAAAGTGTATGATATGCTCTAGATATGCTCGTTGAATTTTGTCTCTCATTTTAATAGTGTGGGATATGCATAATCACCAACACATAACAACGAAAAAATACGAACTTGCAGTCACCAAGTAGGCAATTGCAACAACATTTACGATGTAAAACAGCGTCTTGCACTATTCTTAGGGTACAGCTTACGGATTGTAAATGATTCACTTGTTTTGAACGCACCTTGGCTTCACCATGACAGCTAAATAGTTGTTGTTTTTTATAAATCAAGTACAAAAGGGAAAAGAGACTAGATATTACAGTCGCTACAAACGACGATATGAATCAAACTCCAATATTTATTTGTCTTTACTATAGGTTATTTCAGAGTACATTTACTTTTGTTTGTACTGGAATCAAGCGCAACTTCGTTTAATAGACTTTTTATTAATGATGGTACATGTCCGACGTGTTTTACGGTACAGGAAACGAAGGTTTGGATGTTCAACTCTGCAGATTTGATCTTGTCCGTGTCGGAACTTGTGCCTCAAAAACGCCTTTTCACTCAAATTCGATGTGCGGATTTACCTTGACTGGCAACGTAATGCTCTGTTGGTGGGCAACACTGTTCTCCCACAGGAAGATCTTGACACTAACCACCGAAACTTACTTCAAATGAGATCCCTATAGATAGTTAAAAATGCCACGGTAACTGATTCCCAACACGCCCGTTATGACCGTTAGACTACTCCACACAGTTACGCTTAGCAGCACCAACACGTATTGTCATTAGGAAATCGAGCTTGGCTCCATTTGTAGCTACAACACCGGAACGAAAATGTTTTGAGCTGTTCTTATTTGTATCTTAGAATTTAAACCAGGGAAATGAGATGAGGCTCTGATTAAAATAGGTTTTTAGTAGTGGAGTGGGGAGTGGCATCGCGTCGACGGCAGGAGCTTGACTCCGGACGGAATCATTGTCCGATTTGAATCTTAGGTCACAAGTTTAACGTCTCCCTCTCAACCACCTTCGCTGAGATTGTTGCCAATTTTCCTACGCTCCTTCCTCTTGGTGACACCAGACATCCTTGGATTTAGCTGGGATCGCCCTATCTACTGCAAAGTTGTGAAATTGGGACCACGTGTCGTTCAAATGAAGGGTCTACACGATGCCGAAGGACACTCGCGGTTGGTGAAACGACAGGACTCCACCCAGCGCATTGCCCAGCCAATAACGCAAGGAGTAACACAGCAGGGTACTGCAACACCAAGCCGTCATGGTGAAACATGATCACGCGCTCCGTCACGGCCAAGCAATCGCTGTGACGGACAAACAAGTAACCGTGTAACTCCTCGATGATCCCATAATAACGGCTGTCACGTAGGTCACCCCACTTGCACCTGTAGTCGCCTTACTACTACTTGACGTAGCATTTTGGAAGAACAATTGGGACGAAGACGAGCTAATCGGCGTCCACCATTCGATCCTGGATCGGATTTGTGGAAGGGGTAGCAACACAGGCCCTTACTATTATCGGGCATCCTGAAGAACGAGGGCATCCCTGACATCGACGAGTCGTCATATCCAGGTTGGATTTTCGAAATACATAATTACATATTGTCACTATGGTCCATGTATATTTCGGAGACCCTGTCGACGACTAAACTCTAGCTAGTACACTGTACGACACAATTGATTTGCAAGAGTGGGTTAGATTTGTACACACAATACAAGCAGATGCGACTGAACAAGTTCACAGAAAAAATCTACCCTTTGGCGTCATGGTAATATCTTGTAAATGTACTCCACCAATTTGACCTGCATATTGAAGCATAATAGTTTTGCTTCAGCGCGCAATTGAAATATGACGTAATGAGTCTCTTATAGTATGGACTTCTTGTTGAGGGAATTTCTTGCTAGAGCTCGCAATCAGCTTTTCACGGGGCTACCCGCCTCACCCGTGGCAACCTTCTAGTCGAAGTTAGGAACGAGGATTCACCCCAATACCAACAGCTGGGTGCTCGCACTCGCCTGTTGTGTCGTATTGCTGAATCGGTAATTGAGTAGTCTATAATGGATACATTTCAGCTGTACGACACGCTTTTTGTAGTTTTTATCAAGCAATGTTTTGTAATTTGCATCTCACAATAGTAGGGTCAATCGATTTAAATAGACAAAAACCGATACTACGAGCGTTTCCCTTCTCCTCACGCGGCAACCAATCCAATAAATATAAAAAACTTCTCTATTCCTTATGGAGCTCCTCCCACCAGGCATATCTTCCCGTATAACGGATCTAGCCATCACCTCCTCGCCTACCCAGTCCAGTGTTGACAGTGAAGCTTGGCAAATGCATTTGGAACTCTGCGCCCACTACAGGTTCCCAGTTCGGGTAAGTAAATTCGACTGGAAGATTGTCGCGAGTGGAGCGGGTAACTTGAAGAGCGCCAAGGACGTCGACGGACACTAACATCACAGAATGATATTAAACCACTACAGTAAAAGAATAGACACATCAATACAACTCCACTTTTATAGATCGACCGATTCCAAACTTCTTACCCAGCATTAATGCTCGCCAGTCATTATTTCACCACCGCGGTTAAATGATATTGGTTCTCGTATAAGACCACCACACATGCATTGTATTGTTAAGGAAGCACGACGGTAAACATTTACAGGACATTCAACTGTGCGAATCGCGCGCGCGGGGGAGTCTACTGCTTCAGTATACTGTACAAAATACAAAGTATGTACGAATACCACAATGTTATGCCACACGGAAGTAACTCTTGGATGGATCTACAACAAGTCCAGTTCGCATATCGCGCCGTTTGGCACAAGTGGCTTCAGTGTACTTCTTTGAAGACGCCGGGGTACTGGATCTTCTTCACTCCGATGCGAACTCCCCCAAGAGCGAAGCCGAGAAAGGAAAGTGGAGAAGTTCTCTGTACGTCAGGGGGGGGGGAGGGGGGTGACGGCCACCACCTGGTGAATGCCACCAAGTTCTTTTCAAACCGCAGGACACGAGCCTGGTGACCCCGTGTACCATCACGATCAACAACACCAAGACGCGACGGACCTGGCGGACCCTTCGCGTCTACGACATCATCGCCAAGGCACCGAGGACCTGGTACCCCTCGAGTGTTCAAGACAACTACCAAGGCGCTTGGACATGGTGAATCCCCGCGCTCAAGCAGCTTACACCGCAGCACGGAGGCCTGGTGACCCCGCACGTGTTCAAGTTTAAGCACCAAAGCACTGAGAAATTGGTGGCCTTCACGCGCTGACGTTTCTCCATCTCCGATCGAACGACATGGTGAACCCTCCGCATTGTAGCAGACAAGATTTCGACTCACCTCAGCGTGGAGGACTCGGCAGTACCCGCTGTACAAGTTTTGTCGCGCCTTCTGGCAAAGATCCATGACGAATGGCAGATTCAACTGTCTAAATGCATATTAGGGTTCTATAGGATTAAATCCCAAAAAGAACACTCCCTATAGCCATTCATATCGATAAACTTTATCTATTGAGTAAATCATGTTTACTCGTTTGAATCACGACAGGACTGAACTTTGTTTCATATCTCAAGACCGCAACTCTACGATAAATGCTGTTGTAGTGTTGTTGGGACCTGCTGGTCATTGGAGGAGATAAACTGGAACGCGCATTTAGATTGTGTTACAACAAACTTTCGTTCTCGCTTTGGGCAACTGCGGTATATGTACTCAATAGATCTAGAAATGATACGAGTAGGTTTCGCAGACCATCTGCGCCGGGTTAATTACCTCCTCTCCATCATGCTTCACCAGCTGGAGTCCTCCTCGGCCAGCGCCTCCAAAGTATCTTTGTGCTTCATGATCCACGGCACCTATCCCTGCAAGATTGTGAGCACCAATATTTTTCTGCAGTCATCATGTTTTTTTTCTTCTTTTTTCTCTCTCTCGTGTATCAATGCACGTATAGACAGTACAGTGTTGAGTACTTCGAAGTAAAAAGCATGTACTATTCAAGAGTAGGTACAGGGATCGCTGCAGTTTGTTACGCTCTGTACATGTGCGACCTTGGTCGTACCGTTGTGCAAGATTAATTGAAATCAATATATTGGACTATTGTAGCTATCAGTACAATCACAAGTTGGCCGTTCACTATTGTAGTTGTAGTTGTTTGTGAAAGCTATCTTTCTCGCTGGAGTGGAGCATGTCTTAAGCTACATATAGTCTGTTCTAATGCCAGTGAATTCCTCGCTACGTGTTACTACACTATTAGTAGTGCACCCACCCATAGTCCTCACAATTTCAATAAGTATAGGTATTCACATCATATGCATGGCGTGGCATTAAATCTCATGTTCCACTATGCGGCTACATCTACCTGAAAGCAGGATATGATAGCCACTTCCAATCTTTCGAGAAGCACGAGACTTACTAGCCATTCACTGGACCTAGTGTCGTTCGCACGGTCATACTTTAACCAGGTATTTTGTAGCAGACCTCAATAATTTCTCAATATTGTATGATTTGGTCATTGGTCCCGTCAGACCCGTTACGGCGGTTAATTTGGCGTAAAAATAGGTCTTATATGCGTGCACTGTGCGCTGGGGGTACTGTTCGCTGCCATTCGTATCCGGTATGTTGGAGCAACTGCTGTCTGGGTATACTAAAGTGGTGTTACTATGTAGAGTCGAAATTCACTATAGTAGTTCAGGGCATCGAGTAATTAGTATACAATATAGGCTCCTGTGTTAGCAAACACGTAATCTGTTCAGTTTTTTTTTTAACCGGGAATTGAATAATCATATTTTTCGTGTATCCTGTGGTTTGTATTGGACAGATTAAACGATAGTATTTGTGTTGTTCACATCTCAACGTCGCGAAGCACATCTGAAATGTGATCATCAACTGCCGCGCCGTAGATCACGCTTGACCTGTTGACGGTATGCCATTCTTAGACAGATACTAATAGACAAACCGCCCGGCACGTGAGTCACGGTGCCAAAACTGCTGTTAATGTTGACTATCCAATGTTAACATGTTTATTTGTTTGGTATTGATCGCGAATCGCGATTCGCGATATCTTGGAGTAATTGCTCAAATGTAACTACGTGTTGTACGTTAGCCGCTCTCACTCTGCAATTTGCTCTCCAGAGCTAACACGCTCTCCAGTCCACAGTCCAGTATGCGAGTCTTACTTCTATTTGTAGTGATTGGTTATTTGTTAAGCTACGCCGCTGCCTCGGCTGCTATCGATGCCGGCACGACAGGCGTCGTGAAGGAGAACTCGGAAGTTGGACTCTTGTCTTATGCGATAGCTGGCGGTGACAAGCAAGTCAAGCGATCTCTACGTCTCGATAATCACGACGAGCTGGCCAAACTCGATTCCAAAGATGAGGAAAGAGTCCCCAGTGGCATGGTGGACGACGTCGTAGCGAAGGTGGGGCAGAGCAAGTTGAATGATTTGATCAAGAAGAACCTCGACGAATTTGCCGGCTTTGCAGCCCAAGGAAAGAAGCTGTTGGGCAAAAGCTCAGAAGCTACGAAAAACTGGGGCAAATTGAAAGCTTCAGTGCTAAGGGGAAAACTCAAGCCTGCCTACGAATATGCCGACCAGTTAAGCCTCTCAACTCTGCAGCAGTTGGACGAAATCCAAAAGCTGAGGAAGGTGGATATTAAAAACGGCGTGAAGGGAAGTAAGAAGACACCTGATGGAATGCGCAGGAAATTTGCTACCTCTAACCCCCCTAAAGAGAGGATACTTCCAAAAGAAGAGTATTTGGTGTCCCACGTAAGCCGCGACAAGCAACGTTATGGCAAAGACGGCAGCCGACTCTTGTCGGCAGGCGTGGTTACGCGGACTAACGAGCAAGGCCAGCTTCAGATCCTCTTGATTTCGAGCTCGAATCCGAATAAACACGACTTTTTACTACCCAAAGGTGGGTGGGACAAGGGCGAGAATATCAAGAAAGCGGCTCTGCGTGAGGTCATCGAAGAAGGAGGAGTACGTCGATCCACGTGTCCCCTATTTGATCATTAGCATTGAATTTTAACCTCCTTGAATTGCAGGTGAATGCACAACTAGCGCACGGTCTGGGAAAAGTGAAATTCAAAGAAGGGGAAGATAAGTATACCTACTTCGCTTACTTGATGAAAAGCAACCAAATTTATGACGACTGGTCCGAGAGTATTCGCTATCGTGTATGGGTACGTATGGCGAGTAGATTCTATCGATATGTATGGCGATCTAACCTATATTTTCACTAGGTTACTCCGGATGAAGCGATCGTAATGCTCCAAAACCGCCCCCACATGCAAGAAGTGGTGAAAAGAGCGAAAGCCATGCAGAACAAAATCACAGCTGGAATAAAACCCGAGCTCAACCCCGACCTAGCAAAAGTCAAGCTTGATTGAACAATCAAATGGGTCCGGTATAATAACAAGATCAACAGCATTAATGACACTATCATAATCAAGGTCTTTGATAAATTGATACATATATCCGAAAGGGATTGAAACAACATAACGGAACCAGGGCTACCATTTCAGCACTTATAAGTCCGATACAGCAATGATGGGGCAGCTTAGCAGGACAAAGCTCTTTCAGTCGATTTTATTTGGGTGATCCCTTTGTAATCACGAAGTACACGTCGCTGAATGAAAATTTAGGCGCTCTCGACACAAATCTGAGTAGTGTCTGGAGCAACAACTTTACATCAAGCTGTTAAAGTGCACATTTTGCGCTTACTGAGATATCTTGCGGCGATTACTTCGGTCGTTATGGGATCGCATGGACCCCCGATAAGGTTCGAGCCATTCGCGCGTGGCCACGGCCTCGTACGAAGCGAGACTTGCAGTCGTTCATTAGTATGTGCTGAAATATTGCAAGGTTTTCGCTGAATTGGCTGCTCCTCTCATGGGAAGCAATGCGAGGACGAATGAAAGACTAGGCGATCTCCCGCTCGATCGAGCAGATTTGGTCATTTGAAGAGCTAAAAAGAAGCGTCTGTTAGAACCTCCGACACGCGGCAATTTCATGTTAGGATGGATGCTTCCGACTACGCGGTCGGTGGGTACCTGTATCAGCTCGACGACATGGGATGGAACGTGTGAATGGTTATGGTGGACGGAAATTGAGTACTGCTGAAAGGCTGCATCCAAATCTCGAAAAGAATATTTATTGATACTTCTTGCCATACGTTATGGCGCGTGTACCTGATAGACAATCCTTTTTCAAGCACAAACGCCATAATAAGGCAATCCTGCCTTCCGTGCGAATATTAATCTTTCTGTGGAGAATGATGTACTTTGTTATCAACTTACTCCGGAACTGCCTCAACGAATATTGCCGATGTACACAATGCCAAATTTTACGAGTGTAGGTGCATCCGATGCCTACCACCAATATCCTTCATGTGCGGCTCGCACAGTACAGTTTCTGTAACGCATCCTTCTTACCCAAGGTTACGGTACGCTTACTAACGGATTAGAATATGGTACCAAATTATGGGTACAGTTGATGGTAAGTTTACGGTATAGTTTACGGGACGGATCAGGCTGAACGGAATGCAGCGGAGGCCACGATCTAGGGAGACCTGCTCAACTTCTGCATTGCGGGGTGCGATTAAGACATGCGCTGATGATCACTCTTTTTTGTCCTTTAAAAATGTAGTTAAGGACAAAATCAACCTCCCAGTAGACTAACCAAAGACCAATTTGGTCCTCTTTTGTGGCCTCGGATATGCGACAAACTGAGTCCTGTCTCTGCTATTAGTTGGATTATATCAATACATTCACCTGTCTATGGCATTGTCCACGTCTAGTAACCTGGCAGTCTTTATTGGTCCTACCTTTCTCTCTTTGCGGGGAAAATCTGGACAAAATTGTAGAAACACACGCGGGTGTGCAGGAAGCACACACACACAGTATATGCGTGCCACACAGATGTTGCCGGGTAAGATCCACAGCCTGTACAGGCTGTACAGCACAGACAGTGGGACGCGACCACGGACCATCCATTCCGTGGTCGCTTCCTTGTAAATCACCAATCAAAGCTGACTCCTTCCGATGAGGGGCAGTCAGTTCATTCGGCAATATCCAACCAAGAAGACAAGCAAAGTAGAACACTATGCGCGACGTGCCTCGGAGCTAATCACCGGCACGGCGGCGTCCGTGCCTCGACCTACGAATACTGCGTGGCTGCGATTGGACACTACGACTACTGTACTACTGCTTTACGACTACGACACGGGCGCGGCGTGCCTCGGAGCTGATCACCGGCACGGCGGCGCTTAATGCACGGATTACTGCAATGCTGCTAAGTTCGAAGGCTTGTGCGGAGCGAGTTGAAGAGGATTGCCGCTGTACCGCTCTAGCAGATGGCATTTTTGGACTTTTAAGTGGTGCGGTGGTTTGAACATGTGTATTTTAGCGCTGACGGACTTCGGTAGTGCGGTGAAGATGAAAGCATTGTATTAATTGTTTAATACTATGTAATGATTTCAGTCTTTGTCATACTCCTCTTTTGCTTCAGCCTCGATGTACGCGCGTTCCACTTTGCGGCGTTTCCGCTGTCGATACTGAGGGGAGATTCGTTGCTGGCTCCCAAGTGGGTTCCCAAGCAGTGAGGAAGACAACCCTCCCGTTGACACGCCGGTCGTCGAGAATGGTTCTCATCTGGTAGGTCGGCTGGGCTGTCAAGCATCACCCGGCAACACCCATTTCGCTTCGCCCGCATCTCTCCCTTGGCGTGCGGCTTCGATGAGACGAGGCTTAGTGATGCGGGCTTGCGGCACGGCGTCAAGAAGGCGCCGTATGGCGCCGGCAACGTCAATAGTCGAGCCACGTTGAATAAGGTCCCAGGACCTTAAAAAACGGGCAGCCTCTTGGTCGAGGCGACACCACCCATGTTCTTGAAGGTGCTGTTGATACCATTTAAGGAATGCTGTCGTGTTAGTAGGTCGGGTGGCGGCGATCTCGTGGTCATCTCCGGGGGTGGCCATCTTGAAGGCGGATTCAGAAATGAACATTGAACGAGAAGATATCAATCCAATACATATTTTTAAATCCGTTCAACGAGGTTGCTATATTTCATGCTTCTATTTAAACTATTCAAGGAAGTTGCTATATTTAAACTTTGAAGAAGGTTTGTCTATACAAGCTGCATAAGACAGTTTATATGTTTCCAAAGCAAGATGACACAAAGCAAGCCAAAGATTATAAAGCGTAACGTTAATACAATCTAAAACTTACCGCAAGCTAAGTGCGTGCCCGTTCGTCTGCGGACGACCAGCAGGAACTCGGGAGCTCAAACCGTTAGAACTTGCTTGTTGAGTACGGCGGCGTTTCCTCACAACTGTGCGATTCACGAGTGTCCTCTTTCTGTCCAATCCAGTGTACCTATTCACTTGAAGAGCAAACAGAAGGAAAATGCAAATTGCGAACTTGAAGTAATACTTGCACTCACATGTCATCGAAGCACCATCGACGCACCAACCACCATCCGGCTGACCTTCAGTCTCCATGCGAGCGTAATTGGTGCCCATCTGAGCCGAGACAGGGGCTGTTTCTCTACTACGCCCCAACTCAGGTAGATAAACGCGAGAACAGCCGCGCGACAATACACGAACCTCATTCGGGTTCGGGGAAACCAACAAGAACTCAATGCTCGACCGTCCAGGAGTCCTGTCGAGAAGGAGATCTCGGCGCCGGAAATCTTTTACTCGAGCTTCCTCGATTGGTTTGGGGATGACAGATTGATGCTGACAGCAATCCGCGAGCAACTGGACCAATGGTCCGATCTTGTGCTTCGTTCGGAGAGTGTAGTCACGCTTTGTCAACCTGTTGAACTGCTCGACCGGGTTGTTCGTTGTGGCAAATCCACTCGCCGTATGAAAACACTGCCATCGCCAAAATGCGCTTGGCACCCATGTGCGCTCGAAATAGTCTTGAAAGCCAACCAAGTGTTCGTCACCTGACCATTTTGTCAGCACTTGTTTCACTTGTTCGTCATAAACAGCTGATGTCGTCGCGAAATGAAGGTCATAAATGTCCGCCATCACCTGCTCGCTTAAGCGGTCCGGGACACTCTTGAGTCTTTCGTGAACCTTGGTCATCACGTGATAGAAGCACATCAAGTACACGAAATCGGAATCCGCACCGATGACGCGTACCACTGCATTCTGTTGAGCAGCTTCAGCATCGGCCATGACGAACGTGATTACCAGATGACGCCCACCCGACACTGAAGCAAAATCCTGCGCAGTTCAGTCAGCACCGTCACGTAAATGTCCTCCAAACGTTGCGACGTAATGAAAAATGCCACGAGGTGAAATGAGCCACACTTGTCAGAGATCCCACACACAATGACAGGATACCCAACTTGGTTCAACTTGAAGGTGGCATCCATATGGAACACAAACGAATCCGGATCGCGAGCGGCATTTAGCAGAAGTCGTTTTGTTGTCAGTCCCACTAAAAATGGATTTTCTTCAGAGCCGTTTCCCACATCTGGTCTGCCGTGTGCGTCACGCTTCCATCCAAACAAAAATGGTTTCGTGTCTAAGACCGAAGGACAATACATCAATTGCTCGATTTGTCTCAGAATTTCGTCATGGTAGCCATTGCGGTGAAGATTCGTCTTTGAATAGCTGCTGACGAACCATTGCATTTGACGCAGCGTCGGCGTCTCCTTCTCCGTCAGCCCAAACCGCCGTGCTATTCCATTGCGAATCCGAGCCGGCTTCAACACTTGAGTTGCCATTTCACGGTCGTAGTCCTTGAGTCGAGAGGTCATCTTGGGTTTTTGGGGCTCCCTTACCAGCGTCTCGTGAGCACCGGTCTCCATGACCGTCACGCGGTTCAAACCTTGGCCGTAAGCACCCTCCCCTTCCACAGACACTCGTCATATGGTGCTGCTTCCTTGCATGTTTCCGAGGAGCACTTCAGCAGTTGATAACGCATCTTGTGTGTCTTGGTCAGCGCACACACGACGCATGGAACCAACTGGCTCTTGACAACGATGAATACCTTCATGTTTTCCATGAGCAGCTGGGAGTCCACACGAGCCATGTCGCTACAGACAGTTGTCCACATGGTCGTCGTGGGAATCTTTCGTTGAGAGAGGGGAGGGAGGAGTCTAGAGTTCAGTGTTTTGCTGGATGAAGGCTGTTACGAAAAGACTTTAAAGACGGTGATTGGCTCAGTCACTGTCTTAACAAAGGTTGTGATTCGCTAATATTGAGTGGTGTGTAGACACCCGAGTTTGGTGTGTTTTGACCAATGCAATTGTGCCACACGTATGGATGGTGTGGTGTGATGTGACATTGATGTGCACCACGTACATTG